AAGGCAAAGTAGTTGGACAGGTCAACACATTAATCTTAATATTTGAAATGATATGAATGAAAATTAAGTGTGCGCTCACGCTCCACAATTTAATTTTGGCTGCTCCGAGAGCTGCTCGTCGCTGACTCTGGTCGCTGTCGCTCGTCTCGTCGCTCACTAAGTCGCTTACATGCGATTCGATCTTCAAGGCCTCTCGTTCTCACTCCCCGTAAGGTCATTTTCCTGGAAGGCACTCGGTCCAGTGCCTTTTCTCTTTTTCGTATACCATATTTTCCGGGCTATAGTCCGCACCCAGTGTATGTCCGCAGGGGCGAATTTGGGGTCAAAAATAAAAGTTTTTGCTTAGCTAGTCCACACACGGTGCATAGTCTGCATTTGGGGCTTAGTCGACACGAAAATCTTCTCATACACGGCACACCCTGACAAATGTCTGCTTTCTTAGTTCACAAAGAAGCTTGTATCGTACAGAAATAATCATTAACATACTCTTTTATTCACAAGATTCGTTATGTTTGCTCATAATGAACGATCTTGAAAAACAAAATTCCTGCATAGTCTGTACGCATAGATAATCCGCACAGCCCAAATTTTTAACTTATAAACATGTATAGTTTGCAGACTATAGCCCGGAAAATATGGTACATTAATGCCCTTCATTTCGGCGTCGAATCTTGCAGTCAACAGACGGTTTCCAAATATATCTCGCCAATTATATCTGACAGATAATGCTAAACCTCTTCAAAACAGAGCTGCTAGATTCATAGCTTGCGGTTATTCCCATTTTGCCAGTGTAACCAGTATAAGACCCATTACCTTTCCATGCAAGAAGGCACCTTGAATGCCATTTATTCGCAAGCTTTACCACAGTTCCTCGCATTGTAGAGTCTTTTCTACAGGCTGCTCACTATATATCGTCCCGTTTGGATCACCCCCTTAAAACTAATACCACTTTTGCACACACTAGTATACTGTAAACAACTTAATTTCTGTGAATTGCCTACAATTCTCAAAAAATAGGTCCCGCGAACAATTCCGGTAAAATGTAAGCACATTGGAATCTATATTGAGATCCCACCGCGTCGCAAAAATTAGAACCCGCGAATTATTCCAAAACTTCGGCTTTAACTTAAGTCACGAAATATTGAGCCTGCGAAAAATAAGTTGTTTACAGTATGTAAAACAGGGTGTTGAGCGACCGGGAAAACCATAAATGATCAGGGAATTGTCAGGGATATTGTCAAAAAGCCAGTCCAAATGCAAATGAGCCAGAAAAGCCATCAAGTGCCCTGAGCAAAGACTTGAGAACTTGGGGGCAGAAAAATAGGCAGTAAATTCTCCTTAGAGCGGAGCGCGGGCTCTGCTGACCCGATGTAGAGTGTGCTACTTGATGCAAAGGGAGCAGCCGACAAATCCAGTCTAAGCCTTTCCTTGCCTTGGATTGGATTGGATTGGATGGGATTAAGGGTGTTGCACTAGGCTAGATATGGTTTGAGCTACTAGATTTAGTAACAAATGGGAAAGCCGCTGACCCCAATCCAATAAGCCGAACGTATCTGAAAGTGTGCATCTGGCGGCCATGCGGTTATTCAGTTTTTGACATGTGTGGTTGAGTGTCGTGCTTTCATTGTGCTTCCGGAAGTGGCCTCTTCATTGACGATGTCGGCGGCAAGAAAGTGCTTGTTTAATCCAGAATGGACGAACTTGAATGTCTCGGAAAATGCAAGTTCAATTAAGCCCGTGCAAAATTATCCTTACACTGCTCAATGCTCAGTGTCTTGTGTTGTAATGGTCTTATATATCTAATCGCCTCTATAGTGGTCAGGGAATTTCACCAGAAATTGTCAGGGAAAACCCGGGAAAGTCGGGGAATTTCAAAATAATAATTTGCTAGACACCCTGTAAAAATTCACTTGTGGCCATTTCGAATTGAAACAACCTCTCCAAAGAAAGTTTTTCCATCAGTGATCACCTGTCCTTTGTTTCGGCTCTTGACCTGCTGCAGCTTGAATGGGTTGTAAAGTCCGATGTCAGCTGACCTGATTGTGCATTTTTTTTTTATGCATGTTTCTTTGTTCCTTTTTTGTGTTGCGTTTTCTCATGGCAGAATAGACCATTTTCTAAATTTAGTCTGGCCACTTTGATCATCATTATCATCATCTGGGGAACGACATCTGTGCCATACTAGTGGCAGCCTTCTAGTGACCCATGAAGAAAGAGGTTGAAGATGCTCCTAAGTGGACGATGCGAGTTTTTTTACATTCGAGGGGGTTGGTAGGATGCGACGCAGAAATCGAACACAAGAGCGTAGTGTTCATTCCTAACTCATATTCAGTCACTCCGCAAGCGGCACAGTATCGCCTCTAAACCCCTTTGGCTTATAGAATTTTATAGAGGCGTCTATGTGGGTTGGAGCTTCCTTCTGACCGGTTGTAGCTTTGTCACCATCAAAACTAAAAGTGATTGAGAAAGAACTGCAGAGTGAACACTTCTTCGCCTGCCGTTGACTTGCAAAAGTGACGGTGCCTGATAAAATAATACCGCCATTAGTATGGCAAGAATGATACTGCTATACGAGCCAGCAGATAGCACTGCATTTTGGGAAGGGTTTATTGCACTGAAAGAGTGTTTTGTATGTTTAGTTTTTTGGTTTTTTTTCGTTTCCTTATGTTTAGTTGTCTGCGTCCTACTGTCACAAATAAAAAAAATAAACTTGATGAATAAAACTTAAAATTATTGTTTAATGCGGCTAACTTCTCCCGAGAAACATAAAGCAACTGAGACCGTACATACCTTGACGACCGACTCAAGCAGCCATGCAAAGCTCTTTTTGGAAGCGGATGGGTATCTAGAAGTTTCTCAGCTTGAACAAACAACAATATTCTCGAGTCATTTGGAACATTCCAGTCATGCAAACAAAAGAAAGATAAAAAAAATGAAAGACGTTTACAATCCCCTGTAACGCCGAATTAGAGCGCAGCTGTTGAGGAGGAGAAGAGGAAGGTGCGGAGGGGAGACTGTGCCCCTCCTCTCCTGCTCGCCTCCCATTTAGGAGAAAATTTTCCGCTAAATTTGGCGGAGAGTTTTTCCCGCTAAATTTAGCTGGGAAATTTTTCTGCTAGATCTAGTGGGGAAATTTTTCCGCTAAATATAGCGGGGAATTTTTCTGATAATTTTGGCGGGGAAAATTTTCTGCTAAATTTAACGGGGAATTTTTTTCCGCTAAATTTAGCGGGGAAATTTTCCGCTAAATTTGGCGGGGAAATTGTTTCGCTAAATATAGCGGCGAATTTTTTCCACTAAATTTAGCGGGAAAAGTTTTCCGCTAAATTTAGCGAAAAAAGTTTTCCGCTAAATTTAGCGGGAAACATTTTCTGCTAAATTTAGCGGGAAACATTTTCTGCTAAATTTAGCGGGGAAATTTACCCATAACGCACCGCGCAATTACGCTGACGGCGACACTGCTCAAGCCGGAAACAGGTGCCTAAGAGCTGCGCTTTAAAAGGACAAGTGCTGGCTGGGATCAAACCCCAGACAGGGGTGTGGGAGTCGATCACGCTGCTAACTCAGCTATTCGCACGCAGCAGCATTGCGTTTTTCTTCTCTCTTTTGTGTATTTGTATAAGCGATTGTAATATGTCCCTCTATGTAATGCCTAACCTCTGAGGTACGTAATTAATTAAAAATAAATTAGCGTTGCTGCAAATTCCTGACATCTCGGGGAAATGTAGCAGGGTAAGCACTTAGGCACAGCTGGGAGTTCGGTGGCCAAGTGTGTGCTCGGAGGACATGGAGTGAAAGCGCGCACTGCAGAGCCGGGGGGGTTCAATCCCCCCCCCCCCCCCTGCCCGACCTAAATGAGCACTGCACCGGCATGCATCACTACTGCATGATGCACGTTAAGGGCCCCAGGCTAGCGGTGGTACACTTGAAGCTTATTGCAGTCTGTTATAACGAGCTTAGTCTGTATTACACTGGCTAAATTTCTCATCTTCGGACGCCCATTGAAGCTAACTTCTGGTTGTCTAAACGTGCACACAATACAAGGGAAATTTTAATTACCAGTAAAAATCAGGGAATTGTCAGGGAAATTGTCAAAAAGCGAGCCCTGTCAGGGAAAATGAGCTGGAAACACCATCAAGTGCCTAGAGCAAAGACTTGAGAACTTGGTGGCAGAAAAATAGGCAATAAATTCTGCTTATATAGAAGTGGGGGCTCTGCTCACCCGACGTAGAGTGTGCTACCCGATGGAAAGGGAACAGCCGACAAATCCAGTCCAACCCTTGGAATAAATTGAGGGCGCGACACTAGGCTAGATCCAGTTAGAGCTACTAGATTTAGTACAAATGGGAAAGCCTCAGACCCCAATCCAAGCATTAAGCCGAAAGTATCTGAAAGTGTGCATCTGGCGGCCATGCCGGCCATGCTGCCATTGGGTTATTGACGTGTGTGGTGTAGCGTTGTGGTTTCATCGTGTTTCTGGATGTGGCCTCGACGATGTCGGCGGCGAGAAAGTGGTTTAATCCGGACTGGACAAACCCAAACATTTCGGAATATGCAAGTGGGGATAAAGCCTGTGCAAAATGACCCTCACAATGCTCAATGCCTTGTGTTGTAATGGTCTTATTTAACTTCCTCTACAGTTGTCAGGGGATTTCACCTGAAATTGTTAGGGAAAACCTGGAAAAGTCAGGGAATTTCAAAATAATAATTTGCTAGACACCCTGAGCAGATGATTGCCAAATGTACCTGACAGATAATGCTGAATCTCTTCAAAACAGAGCTGCTAGTCATAGCTCGTGGCTATTCTCACTTCACCAGTGTAACCAATGCAAGACTACCTTTTCATGTAAGAAGGCACCTTGAATGTCATTTATTTGCAAACTCTGCCACAGTTCCTCACATTGTAGCTTTTCTGCAGGCGGTTCAATATATATTATATAGCTTGGATCGCCCCCTTAAAATTAGTCTAAAGTTTGCACAATTTCGACATCTTTTTGCAGGTAGAAGTGGCCAACAACCATGCGGGAGACACGCTGGCCTTGGCACCGCCCGACACCCGTGCTGCCGGCGACTTTGGCGCCGGTGGAGACATGGAGCTCGTGAGGAATGTCGGCGGTGCCTTGGCCGGCCCAAATGGCGCGGCATCGGAGTCCCCCAAGCGCTGCACGTGCGCAGCGGGTGGGCCCAAGTGCACCGAGTGCATTGCCATCGGCCGCGGCGCCGTCAAGGTGCAGATGGAGTCGTGGTCTCCGCAAAAGACGACAGTCTTTGGCGTGATCCTGGCGGCCTTTGTGATCTGGGCGGTGGTGTTCGGGGTCTGCCTCAGTGTCTTCAAGCTCTGACATATCCTGGCAGGAATGCACACGTGTCTGTGGCCTCTCGGGCTTTGTGTAACGTTGCTGTTCCTTCTTTCCATAAGACAAACGGATCGACATTGCCAAAACACTGTTCAGAACTGGGTTACGCCAGGTGTAGCGATACCCCAATCCTCCTAGTACATGCAGAAACATCTGGGACAATGCTTGAAAGACTGCTGACAAAGCCTTTTTCGAGTTACTTTTGCTGCTTTGTGTTCTGCGCATCTGGTGCCGCATATTTTCTAAACTCTTCGCAGATGGCCACCGTACACTTTGGCAGCTTGCCGCTGTGGTCGCTCTGTGTTTTTGCGGCTCTGTCAAATAGATACACGCATTAACTCGTGACTGTAGCAAGTTTCATTAGGCAACCTGTGAAAGTAGGCTGGAAAAGTGTTCAGCTGCAGTGTCTGATAACAGGCGAGGTAGGCATCTGCTCCATTGAATGGAGCAGATATGGAGAACAGAAAAGGAGACTCTTGACAGTATGGTTGCTGACAGACACGTCGTGACAGTTTCCTCGGTGTTGCGAGACGCGCTCAATTAATTATCTATCCGACGACAAAATACCATTTTCAGCCAAGAAATTAACTCTTTTTCGGGAGTCGTAGCCACCTTTGAATTCTGTGTGGTTAGTCCCCCACTCGGATTCTTTGGGGGATAATCCTCAACACAACTTTTTATCCCTAGGTTGATTAGAACTGGCCATTCTTTTCAGCTCGATAACTGCAAATCCACTTCCTTGGAAGGTTTTTTTGTAAATATCTTTGGCAAGGAAGTGTACTGCTCCAAGTTCCGTTGCATTCAGTTTCAAAGTCCCTCTTCCGGTAAGCCTCTTTTGACTCAAAACTCAAAGCACCGGTCACTGGAGGGAGTACTTTGTTCTGAAGACTGTGGTTGTCAAATTATTCGAAGACAGGGAATTGAAAACACTGAGGTATCATATTTTCTTTTAAGATCGCCCTTTTATATTCCTGAAGCTGATACCAAAGTACTAGTGGGTGGAACTGTCCCCGTGTTGCGACTAACACCAAAGAGTGCAATGGATAAAAGGTGTACTAATGCATCAAAGGCCAAACGGCACAGGCAGCATGTATAGCAAAAATGTCTGTTGAAGGGTGATGGCAGCTATAGCAGGATATGTATAGTTTGATTCTTGACCGGTTGGATCCGAGTGACAATTCATATTTTTTCTAGTCCAAATAGGGGGTATGCATGCCCCTGCAAAATATTGCTGTATGAAACGCTCGTGACTTTCAGGGGAGGCAACCTCATTGCACCGGCGGAGGGACGAATCTGGTGTTCTCTTATGCGGCACCTGGTTTCACATAGCAATTGTGTAAATGTATAAATGTGTGCTTTTTTCATTGAAATTTCTCGTGGAACTTGCGCTGCTATTAGGAGAACCTGAACTAGTTGATTCAGGTGTCGTATTTATATAGGTTCAGATGTCAGCACAATCTAAGGTGAAACTTTGGCTTTGACAAGTACTGATCATTTTAACGTAAAGTGTTCTTTGGCTAGTTCAGAATTTTGTGAAGCCTGATAGATGTGGCTGTGAAGATTGATGCTGATTGGGTAATGGGGAGGTCACGTGACCAGAGGAGCAGTCGAGGAAGAGTGAGGTAAAAGAGGAGAAGCTCGAGAGTATGGAAGGCTCTTGAAGATCGCCAGGATGATCTATCCGATTAGCGGAAGTATCACTTCATTCTCCATCAGATTAGCGGTTGTATCACTCCATTTCACCTTACGTGCGGACTCTACGAGCTATCCTAGCCAATCCCCGCTCTGTGGAGGTAGCCCGTGATATGCTTTTCACGCGTTACTTTGCCGCCTCTGCATGATCACATGACGCACGGCCTTGGATTGGCTCCGATGGCTCGTAGCATCTGCTGCACCCAGACGTAAATGGGAAACGGAGTATAGGAACAACTATCGAAGGAATTGTGTTGCATACGTGAAACTCGAATATTGCTAAACGTTTGTGATGCTAGAACATTTCACGTAAGCAACAGTTGCCTAGCAACTTGCCATACATTTTTCAATCTCAGATTCTGTTGTCTCTGTTTATTTCTCGTTGTGGCTCGTGCTGTTTGGTGCGATCATACATATTGTGCCCGCTGCTAGCGATTGGACAGGTGCAATTGCAGAGAAAGGATTTGCGGTGCAGCGATTCTCCAGAAATAAATCTCTTTCCCGAGACAGGGTGCTGGTCGTGTTGCTCAGTCTGCCCAAGCTGAGTGTCAAAGTGCCCCAATGACCTTTTGGAAGTGAGAACGGTTTATTCAAGCATCTTTTCTTCGTGGACTGAAAGAGTTGCCGGGCTTCAAGAATGGCGGCAACCCTATGATCCTTGCGCATCCCAGGTAGCCGAGACCTGTTGTTTCGGGGGGCAAAACAAAAGAGGGATTGTTTCATGTTTACATAGGCCTCAGTTCGACAAAGACCACTGCATAAAAGGTTGGAGAGGCGTGGCAAATTCTAGTAATGGGTGACATCCACCTCGTTAGGTTGTTAGTCTGTTGCAGTTGTCACTGATAATTTAGAGAACTATGCTCTGCCCCCTGCACATTTCTAACGGCACACTTTGTGTTCTATACTCGTCACTTCAAGAGAAAAAGCAAGTTTTGTGAATGGTTCATATGCTGAGGAAAGTAGTTTTTACAAGATTTAGTTGTGGGAGAAAACAACAATGCTTTTTGCATTTCGAAAGAAAAAAAGCTTGCGTTGCTCGATATAATTACTTCACATGCTAAACCAGAGTTAACCAGCCCTTTTAGACCGTTCTCACCAGCCAGTTTGGCTACCCCACTGCTGTTGCAATGCATCGAGGGCACTTGAGTCATTCTGCACGTGCGACAACCTCGCTGGAGCTCTACGCAGGCGAGGTTGTCGAGCTTTCACACTATGGCGGAATAGCATCACAATGTTCATGCGCACCTCTGAGTGTCGGGACACAACACTGTCCTGCCTTCGTTGTTCATTCATTGGGAAGGCAAAAACTGGTATTGTGCTATGACACCTAGGCTCACATGCTTTGCAGCCCTTCGCACAGCAGAAAGGCATTTTTGCTCATGCATTCCACGCTCCATGGGACGTCTAGCTTCATCGTCTGCTATAGGGAGTATTCACTGGCGGCCATAGCTGTGTGCGCGAAGGCTGAGCGCGTGCTGATGGCAAGCTTCGACAGTTCTTTTGCAACGTGCATTCTGCACCATCAAGAGTGCCGGTCTTAGCAGCCTATTGATGTGAGCTCGTTCTGAGCATGCGCTCTAAACAGCACCCACAAATATGGCGTCCAGTGAATACTCCCTATAGCAACAGGCACTTGGCGTGAGCGTCTGTTTTATTATCTGCTACGAAAACCACTGAAGCAGGCGATGGAGCAGATGATGTAGCAGACGATGGCGCTCATCCGGGCTACTTAGGGAGCGCTGGGTGAATCAACTAGTGAGGACGTTTAGAGGAGGAAATGTGCAGGCTTTGTGTTCCAAGTTGTATTGGCTCAGCTACGGCCGCCAGTGAATGCCACCTATTGCATGTGGTGAAAAACGAATGCATGTTTGATAGGCCAGTAATGTCAGGGATTCGCTCTAAGCGGTATTTGCGCAAAGTACAAAAAACCTTTGCATCACCCCTTAAACATGCTACAATATCTTTTAGTAGGGTACCGTACGTTGTTGGGCTAGTTGGTTCATCTTAGTAAAACATTTAAATTGCGCAAAAAAGACAAGGACAAGGAGTATACAGGACAGGCGCTTTCAACTATAGTCCGTTGCAACCTAAGAACGAAGGACGAGGGCAACACGGGCCGGGGAGGAGGAAGCAGACGGAACGCTAATGAGAGAAGGAGGTTTCCCCCTCTCTTCTCCAGCCTTCCGTCTGCTTCCTCCTCCCCAACCCATCTTACCCTTGCCCTTCGTTCTTGAGTTGCAACGGACTATAGTTTTATTCAGGAAAAGTAAACAGATATATACACATGACAGGCAAAGCAGCACCACGTAAAAGTTGATTAATTTTTTACCCGATCACTCAAAAACTGAAATTCATTACACTGAAGTACAATAGAAGTGTCGCTGACACATGTCGTCCCACTTTTTTTATGAAAAAAGCTTCCAATAGCTCTCGAGCGACCGCCTCACAGCTTCTTCCTAGTATCCTTATCTGCTGAAGTCGCGGAACACAGCCACACGTGTTGCAATGCATTGGCAAATGCGAGCCATATTTATTTTTTACTGATAATGTGTGCTCAAGTGCTCGGTCATTGATGCACTGCCCCGTCTGGCCGATGTATACCTTTTCACAGCTCGGTGGGATTTCGTAGACCGCACCCACTGTGCAATCCACGTAAGGGGTGACATGTTTCTTATCACACGGTGATTTTGCCTTCTTATCAGAAATGTGGGTGCGCAACCCAGCCAACTTCCTTGGGGCAGAGAACACAGCGGGAACATCGTACTTGCTTGCAACTTTCTTCAAATTGCGGGCAATCTTGTGGGTGTGTAGAACAACTTCTGGTCTTTTTGTTCTCTGCCTCGTTGGAACCTTTCTTTTCTTTTCAACCCCTTGTTTTCTGTGGCAGAGACCGCTATACAAAATATTAAGGGGTTGAAAAGAAAGGTTCCAACGAGGCAGAGAACAAAAAGACCATAAGTTATTCCATACATTCACAAGGTTGCCCGCAATCTGAAGAAAGTTGCAAGCAAATACAATGTTCCCGTTGTGTTCTCTGCCCCAAAGAAGTTGGTTGGGTTGTGCGCCCGCATTTCTGATGAGAAGGCAAAAGCACCGTGTGATAAGAAACATGTCACCCCTTAGGTGGATTGCACAGTGGGTGTGGTCTACGAAATCCCACTGAGTTGTGAAAAGGTATAGATCGGCCAGACGGGGCGGTGCATCAATGACCGAGCACGGGAGCACGCATTATCAGTAAAAAATAAATATGGCTCGCATTTGCCAATACATTGCAACACGTGTAGCTGTGTTCCGCAACTTCAGCAGATAAGGATACTAGGAAGCCGAGAGACGGTTGCTCGAGAGCTATTGGAAGCTTTCTTTATCAAAAAAAAAGTGGGACGACATGTATCAGCGACACTTTATTGTACTTCAGTGTAATGAATTTCAGTTTTTGAGTGATCGGGTAAAAAATTAATAAACTTTTACATGGTGCTGCTTTGCCTGTCGTGTGCATATATATGTTTACTTTTCCTGAATAAAACTAGTTGAAAGTTAGCGCCTGTCCTGTATACTTCTTGTCTTTGTCTTTTTTGCGCTATTTTATATGTTTTACTACAATATCTTCCTTGGTGCACGCTCGATTTACCCTACGCTGCTGCCCCATTATTTAGCCCATAACCTTTTTTAGTTTCGGAGAATTTCTGAACCTCAAGTGCATAATTGTTGTCTTCAAATTACATTTGCGGGCTTCAAAATCAAGTTTCTAGCCACAAGCAAAATGGGAACAAAATCTTAAAAATAATTCACTGCTGCCAATGGCAGCGACAACTGGCATCTGCTGCGAACCGTCACGTGATTTTTGACATTGTGGTAATATATTATGTTTTTAAAAGATTAATTATATATAAAAACAGTAACTAAGGCAGTTCTTGAGCCTGGGGAACCGGCGATCACGGTGTCAAGTGTAGAATCGGTGCCATCGGGGGCATCGTAAGCTGTAAAGCGAAAATTAAACAGCGGACAACAGACGCATTTTATGGGCAGCTGCAGCCCGCCGAGGAACTTGAAGATCGGCGTTGCAGGGGCAGTGCAAAATCGAGTCCAGGCGTCGACGGGACACTTTGCGAAAACCCTCTACCTTAAAAAAGAGACTTTGGCTTCAATCGTTGCAGGAACAACCACGGCCAGAGACAACAGTGGGTTGGTGGAATGCAGCGACTGTGGAAGATGGGTGTTTTTGGATAAAATGCCCTTTAAATCGCTGAAAGAAACTGAAGCAGTGCAATACGTCTGCACGCTGCGCACAAAGGTTAAGGCTACCCAAAAGGTGCTAACGCAGGCTGTGAAATGCAAACGCGAAGAGACAGAACTCCGCGCAGTGCTTCAAGAGGAGATCTATGCGAGAAAACAGATGGAGGCAGAATTGAGAGAAAATCTGGAAGAAGAGAAAACAGCAACGAGGAAAGCAAAGACAGAAACCACGAAAGAAAGAGCCAAGAGGGAAGAAGGAGAAAGATGCCTTGCAGAGGAGAGATTAAGGTGAATTGGGAGATTGAAGCGCACTTGGAACAGATGTGTAGCCCAAACAAAGACGACCAAGAAGAAGTACCCAGAGCCAAAGAACTGAAACAAAGGGATGCAGCGACAATGCCAGCGGGGCAGCGTGGGTCGGGGGCAAAAGCAGCAGGAGGAGGGCGAAGAAACCTTCCCCAGACTCAAGAACAGCAGCCAAAACCTGCTACAGAAAGAGGTAACAAAGAGAACCGATAAACAGGTCAAGACACTAGAGGGTGTGATCCTGGTAGGTGACTCAAATATGAGGGGGCTAAAACTACTACTCCTGGACAGGCTGAACTGGGACTGCAGGGTAAAAGTAACTGCCTTGTCAGGAGTGAAAATGCAGGGCATAATGGAAGCTGCAGTAATCCGACGCCCCCAAACACCGGAGTGGCCTCAACAATGTTCTGAATAAAGAAGACCCAAGCGAAACTGCAAGGAGCACAATGAAACGAGTGGAAAGGTGGCTCGAGCAATCCCCAACAAGCCGCTTTTTCCTCTGCTCGGTCCCCTTCACCAAAGCGAGAGGTGTGGAGGTGGCGGCCAACATAGCTGCCGTAAACAAAGCCCCTATGCGGGAATGCAGGAACCTGGGCCAAAGAGTGGAGTCTGTCAACACATACTGGATGCTGCGAGGCCTGCCAGCCAGGGCAATGGACGGCATCCGTTGCACGCCAGAGGCAGCCCAGGCAGTTGGCGAGGTGCTGGCCCAGTGAGTAACAGCTTTTTTTGAGAAGGAGCTGGGCACGCAGGGAGAAGCCCTCCATCTGGTCCAGAAGCTGTGCCAGCTCTTCAAGCAATCAAGAGGGAACCAGCTGAAGCCACAAGCCAGGGGCTACTTCTACAAACATGCAACCAGCAGAAATAAAAAAGGTGAAACACGAACAGACCATCGGAAGGAACAACGATGTACAGTCTCTTCTAGCATGCTCAAGAAAAGAAAAGAAAAGAAAAAAAAAAAAAGCGATGAAAAA